AAAGAGATGCGTCTTTAATCTAGTTTTGAACTGGGAGAGCGAGTCTGAGCCACGAACAGTATCAGGAAGGCTATTCCAGAGTTTAGGAGCTAAATGTGAGAACGCCCTCCCTCCTTTAGTGGACTTAGATATCCTAGGAATGACCAGAAGCCTCGAATTTAGTGATCTTAACGAACGCGATGGATTGTAGGGCGATAGAAGGTCCATTAAATACACAGGAGCTAAACCATTTAGGGCTTTATAGGTCAGTAGTAGTACTTTGTAATTGATACGGAACTTAATAGGTAACCAGTGCAGAGATGATAAAATCGGTGTTATATGATCATATTTTCTTGACCTAGTAAGAACTCTAGCGGCTGCATTTTGCACTAACTGTAGCTTGTTTATTGAGGATGCAGGACAACCAGCTAATAAGGCATTACAGTAATCTAGTCTCGAGGTCATGAATGCATAAACTAACTTTTCTGCATCGGAAACAGATAGCATGTTACGTAATTTAGCAATGTTTCTAAGGTGGAAAAAGGCAGTTCTTGTAACATATGAAATATGATTTTCGAAAGACAAGTTGCGGTCTAGTATAACACCCAGGTCTTTTACTGTAGTCGATAAGGTAACAGGACATCCTTCTAAATTAAAGTTGTATTGTACGAGATTTTGTGGGTAGTTTTTTGGACCAATAAGTAATACCTCCGTTTTATCTGGATTTAATAGCAGGAAATTACACGTCATCCAGCATTTTATATCTTTAAGACATTCTGTCAATTTTGATGAGTTAGTGTTTTCATCTGGTCGTGATGAAATATATAATTGAGTGTCATCAGCATAGCAGTGGAAATTAATTCCATGTTTTCTTATAATATTACCAAGTGGCAGCATATATATTGAGAATAGCAGAGGGCCTAACACCGATCCTTGCGGCACTCCATAGTCTACTGACGTTATCTTCGATTTTTCCCCATTTAAACAAACAAAATGGTAACGGTCCGATAAGTACGATCTGAACCAGCTTAATGCCTGTCCCTGAACACCAGTGTAGTTTTGTAGTCGATCCAAGAGTATTTTGTGATCTATAGTGTCGAACGCAGCGCTAAGATCGAGTAGAACTAATATTGAGATACAGCCTTGGTCAGAAGCTAAAAGTAAATCATTTGTAATTTTAACTAGCGCAGTTTCTGTGCTATGATGCGGTCTGAATCAATGTCCCCATGCAATGATGCAATGTCATTCAAAGTAGGCGATGTCTCTCCTCTCAAAAGATTTCAGAGGATTCTAGGCCTCATGGCTTCAGCCTCAGCGGTGCTTCGTTTAGGTCTGCTTCGCATGAGCCCTTTACAGCACTGGCTAAAGACGCGGGTCCCGCGTCGAGCATGGGCATCCGGTCGTTTTCGTCTCAAGGTAACTCAGAACTGTGTCACAGCTCTGGAGCCCTGGAAGGCGGTCGGCTGGTATCAGACAGGTGTAAACCTGGGGCTAATCTCGAAACTGAAAGTGGTTTCGACAGACGCCTCCAATTCGGGCTGGGGCACCCTCTACGAGGGCAGACCGACTTTTGACTTCCTTCCTCTTCTAAAGGGCCACTATGTCCTTGTCCGCACGGACAACATGTCGGTAGTTTCCTACATAAGTCGCCAGGGCGGTCTGAGATCACGGAACCTTCATGCACTGGCAGAACCCATCCTTGTATGGGTTCAGCGCAACCTGCTATCGCTGAGAGCGGCGCATGTGCCAGGCCATCTGAACGTGGGTCCAGACAGGTTGTCCAGGGACAACGTTCCCCCAGGGGAATGGTCTCTCCACCCTCAGACAGTTCAGCTGTTGTGGGACACCTTTGGCACAGCGGAGGTCGACCTCATTGCGTCTCAAGACAACGCTCAGTGTCCAATATGCTTCACGAAGAACAAAGACGCGCTGGCCCATCACTGGCCCAGCCGCCCTCTCTATGCTTTCCCGCCAATCACGCTGTTACCACAGGTAATCAAGCGTATCAGGGAGAATGGTTCCTCTGGGCTTCTAGTAGCTCCGTTCTGGCCGAACCAAGTTTGGTTTCCGGAGCTGATGCAGCTTCAGAGCCTGGCTCCATGGCCTGTCCCGTTGAGGAGAGATCTCCTCTCACAGGCCGGGGGTACGATTTGGCACCCACACCCCGAGCTTTGGGCTTTGCATGTGTGGGCCATCAACGGCTATCCGTCAATCTCCCGGACGGGGTGTTAACCTGTTAAGCTTCACCAGTGCGCGGACGCACTGAACCGTTTTTTTTTTTTGTTTAAATAGTTCAAAGTTACTATCAGATTTAATGTAACCTTGACAAACTATACATCATTAAAAAGATATAAGACTCAAATTTCAGTATTTGACCACTATTGTATTCTGAGAAACTTATAGTGACAGTTATGTCTTAATTTGTGTCAGGAGTTATGTAATTAAAAAATGAGTTGATACCTTTAAACACGATTACGCAAGCTAGAGCGCCCTCTACTAGACGGCTTTATGCTTCCAAGTGGTCAGTGTTCTCAGGTTGGTGCTCAGCTCGCAACCTGGATCCACAAGATTGTGGGGTATCAGAGGTTCTCTCCTTCCTACAGGAGCTCTTGGATAAGGGTAGATCCCCATCCACGCTCAAGGTGTATGTGGCGGCTATTGCTGCGTTTGTCAAACATTCGCACGGCCAGTCACTGGGTAGGAACGACCTTGTAGTCCGCTTCCTTCGGGGAGCTAGAAGGATGAACCCTCCTCGACCCCCCTTGGTTCCCGTATGGGACCTTTCCTTGGTCCTGGAGGCCATGAAGGGTGCCCCTTTTGAACCTCTACAGTCTGTGGACCTTAAGTATCTCTTGTTGAAAACCGCCTTTCTGGTGGCTATCGCCTCAGTCAAGCGGATGGGTGACTTACACGCACTTTCTGTTAGCGCATCGTGCCTTGAGTTTGGGCCTAATGACTACAAGGTCATCCTCAAACCAAGACATGGTTATGTCCCCAAAGTACTTGCCACTCCTTTCAGAGCGCAAGTCATTTCCCTGTCAGCCCTCTCCGGATCTGACAGCGAGTCTGACGTGAATCTCCTTTGCCCGGTTAGGGCCCTGAGAATTTACGTGGAACGTTCGGCTGCTTTCAGACAGTCAGAACAGCTCTTTGTTTCTTTTGGTGGCCGATCTAAAAAGGTTTAGCTGCCTCGAAACATAGCCTTTCCAGGTGGATAGTGGACGCTATCTCACTGGCTTATACATCTAAGTGCCTTCGTTGCCCTCTGGGTATCAGAGCTCATTCCACTAGAGGCGTTGCCTCTTCGTGGGCCTGGTCCAGTGGGATCTGTATGGCGGCAGGCTGGGCCTCTCCGTCTACATTTATAAGGTTCTATAACCTGTAAGTTCCCGCTCTCCAAGCTAAACTGTTATCAGTCTAGTTAATCCGCTCAGTTCTGCCGGGCTCGCTTCCGTGGACTGCAAAGTTTTCAGTTCAGGCAGGCTAATGCCTCTCCTGACTGTTATACAGAGTTAAGCACCCTTGTTCACTTAAGGTAACCACGTTTGCCTTATATCGTTCTTATTAAGCCCATTCCCTGTCGGCTTTTTATATCCCCATATCATATGAGCTCAGGGCACTCGCCCTTGGGTCAGTGTTGTGGTAGATTTAGCACGCACGGCGTTTTAAATTTGGTTCCCGTAGCGTAAGCTAGCTTACGCAAAACGAGAGTACTCTCGTAAGAGAACGTCTCGGTTACTAACATAACCTCGGTTCTCTCTAGAAGAGGGAACGAGTGTTGCGTAACCCTGCCTTGCTTGTGCAACCATCTGGTTTCGCTTCAGTTGATGAAAAGCAAGGCGCATCCTATCGAGCTCTGGCTTATATAGGCATAAGCCACGCCCATTCACGTGGGACGTGACGACTGAGGGCGCCAGCACCCTCATTGGTGCTTACGTCACGAGCAGTCCCTCGATAGTTTGCAGCAGTTGCCGCAGAGCAGCCAATAGGCGCACGAGGTGCCTCGCCTAGGTCTGCTCGCTGCAGCAAATGCGTTTTAAATTAATACAAATTATAAGGATAATTTTGGGCTTCGGTATTCTTGAGAAAAGAGGTTTTTCCCGTAGCGTAAGCTAGCTTACTCAACACTCGTTCCCTCTTTTAGAGAGAACCGAGGTTACGTTAGTAACCGAGATCTGTGCTGTTAACCTCTAAGGTTAATTCTGTCTGTCCCTGTTATGACCATCATGCTTGTCTGACTCTCTTCTCTCCCTTGCTGTCTGGATGTGGTTGCTGTATGGACTGATTTTCTCGACATACGCCAGTCTGACCATTCTTCGAATCTGCCCATCTTCAAGTTGGCCTGGAGCCAGGTGGCTCGACCAAGTTTTGGTCTTTGAGTTTAAATAATATTTGATTGAGCATCTGTCTGCTTTTGGGCTCCTCCTTCCAGAGAAGCCCAAAACATCTCTTCTCTGATGACGCATTTACTGGAGTGAGGGCAGGACAACCTGTCACTCACATGAGATCACAGCAAACCACAACTATCCAATCAATTCCCCATGAACAAAATCAAGTCCCGCCCTACACTTTTTTTTGGTAGAAAGAAAAAACTATCGCAACTTCCATTTCAAGCCGACTTTAAGCAATCAGTAATCACATGAATAATAAATAACTGCAAATACAACAGTACTTTGAAATGCAAATGTTATATGTATATGGCTGTGCAAAAGATGGGTTGTGCTTACCTCCAGCACGACTTCACTGTACTAAAAACGAGAGAATAAATATTAATAATGTAACAAAATGCAATACAATTTTTTAAACAATCTATTGTGCAAATCATATATTTATTATTAAAGCCGGGGTGTCCAAACAGTGTCCGGCAGAGTTTAGCTCCAACTTGCCTCAACACACCTGCCTGGAAGTTTCTAGTAGTCCTAGTAAGACCTTGATTACCTGTTTCAGGTGTGTTTAATTGGGCTTGGAGCTAAACATAAGAGAATTACACACACACACACACACACACACACACACACACACACACAAAAGACTGTTGCTTTTGCTTAAAGGATACAAACCTTCTGATCAAAGGGTACAAAAGTTTTATCCAGGGTGACAACTCTGAAATTCACTGTGAAATGGGAAATATGTGAAAACATGAGATTACAAACTTTTCACTTGTCATTTTTTGCGCTACAGAGCAACATTAGAGGCTCTGAGAAATACCAAACTGTCTGTCTGTTGTGTCCTGGACATTAATGTTCTTTCATTAATGACATCCCATAAAACCACTGTCACTAACAATGTGAAACAAATAAAACCTTAGTATTTATTCACAAACCTTTAAATCTCAAACATACACAACTCACCTGTTTGTCCTGGAAGATAGATAGGTTTATCAGTCTGGATAAAAGTCAAAGGGTAGTAACGTTTGAACAAGACTTTTCTCTCTTCTGTCATTTTGAAGTTCTTCCCCTGAAGTTCTACCTTCATTGTCTGCACTGATTCTGCTTTTACCTGAGGTGTCTGTTGGGAGACAAGTTATATCAAACCATAACCATGAATGTTCAATTATGTGTGAATACACATTTCTTGATGACAAACCTGAAAGTTAAAGCAGCGGTGAAACTCTTCCTCAGCTTTCTCCTGCAGCAGTAAAGTGCTCTGGTTACCATGAACCAGATGTATGTTCATGACAAGGCTTTCATTGGGCTTGAGAAGACTTGCACACAGTTTGGCCTCAGATCCAGACCCAATCTCTGCAGGAAACATCACCATGAAAGATCTGTCGAGAAATATCAAAGCTCTGCAACTTTTGTATTTCAGTGCACAATACTGTGTCTTATTCAAGAACAACAAACAGTAAATTTGTGGCTCAATCCATTCACTGTATTCACAATGATCGATAAACAGTTACCATTCAAAGTTACTTACGGCCCTGAGGTTTGTCCATGAACAGAGAGGAAGAGGAAAGAAACTAAAAGAAGCCATTTCCAATCACAATACTCATTGAAAGCCATGATGAAGGCTGATGCAGAACACACTATGAACACAACTTTGACTGTGTCTTTATTTTAAAGGGCACTCGCCCCAAACCAGCTATTGAGAAATTATTTGTATTAAAATTAATGATTAATTTCTTGAGATTTTGATACACATTAGTTACAATGGTTTATGCTTCGAGACATTGTGCAAAGGTCCTAAGACATTGCTTAACTCCTCCTGATATTATTCACAGTATTGCTTTAATTCTGTTAGATAAAAAATAAGCAGTATATCAGTTGTCATCCTCAATGACTTTTTATTGATTCAGATGCAAAGCTGATACCTACATGTTTGTTTATACTGTGAAATATAAACAATATACAATTTATAGCCTATAAACATATAAAGATTAGAATGTATCCGTATTTAATGATATTGTTTCATCATTGTGGTTGTGTAATCAGTGAAAAACCATGGTCACTGACCTGTTGGCCCTGTTTACACAGTATTAACTTACACCCATTTTTATGTGTGAGAGGGGCTACCGGTCATTCTGTATTATAAATCAATTGGAACAGTGTTTCTTAACCGTTTGTTTACAAATTGTGCTGAAAATGTCATGAAAAGTTTGGTCATATATAGTCCTTAATTTGTATTTTAAGCAATTTTCAATTTTACACCTTAAAGGGATAGTTTTCACGTGTTGTGTGTTTTGATTCATGTTAGGATTTCTGTAGTCTTTTGCTGTCAGTGTGTTTAGTTCAGTCTTTCTCCATTCCCTGCCTGTTTGTATCCGTGGTTACTGATTTGATTTTCAGTTCAGGTGTGAACTGTTAGTTCAGGTGTTAATTAGCCTCATTAGGTCCTCTGTTTGCTGTCTATTTGAGGCTATGTTTACACGGAAACGTTCTGAAGAGAAAACGCAAAAGTGGCGTTGCGTTATCACTTTTTATTCTGCGTTTAGACGAGCGTTATGGTTGGGAAATCCGCGTGCATATGGTGACGCAAAAGTGTGTGAAATTCGATGTAGTATGCACTCCAAGTGGCAATGTGAAGCACTGCCACACAACAACACCAATATCTTAGAATATTTTGTACAACTGCTGAAAAGACTCTTGTATGTTCTTCAGAGCTGCTAGGGCAACTTGAAGGTTTGACGTATGGAAATAATCTGACATGTTGGTTGTTATTTTCCTGTACTGGCGCATGCATGTGACGTAAACGCGTACGCGATGAGAGCCACCGTGAGCAGATTTGCGTTCTCTTACGAGAGGTTCTCTCGTATTGCGTAAGCTAGCTTACGCTGCGGGAAAGATTCATCTTTGCTGAGATATTGAAGCCAAAAATTATTTCATAATTTGTATCCATACACGACGCAGTTCCTCTGCGGCAGACCTAGAGCAGGCTAGCTAGCAGCTCATTGGTTCGCTCAGAGAGAACTGCTTAAGCCTATGGGAGAACGGGGCTGAACCCGCTTCCAATGAGAGGCGCCCGCGCGCTCATTGCGTCATGGCCCGCCAGAATGGGCGTGGCTATGGTGTATATAACAGTCTCTCCCAGGCTTATATGTTGATTCATTTCATCTTCAGCAAGCTGCACGCTTCTGCTGTCCTGAGAAAAGCCGCCGCCGTCGAAAAGGCATCACTCTAGCGAGCTCCCGGACCCTGAAGAAGCCGGCCGTCTTCGCCACCTTCAGCCGCCCTGCAAGCTAGCGCCATCCGACGACTGTATCCTTCTCTATTATATCTAAAAGAGCCGAGCGTCTTTTTAAAGATGTCTCGTTTTTCCTGCGGTTCTTGCCGCGCTCGTCTCGAGGACGGAGACCGCCATGTCATCTGCGCTCTCTGCCTGGGACTCGAGCACGCAGAACTCGCCCTCGCGGATGGAGGATGCGACTTCTGTGAGAGCCTGCCGTTGTCGTCCCTGCGGGCACGACTTCTGGCAGCAAAATCCGCTCCCGCGCCGCCTTCCTCTTCGCCGCGTAAGAAAAAACGCCGCTCCCAGAGGCCGCCGGAGCCCCCAGCGGAACAATGCGGGCCGCCGCCGCCGCCGCCGCCTCCCGCTTCCCGCTCTCCCTCCCCGCCCCTGCCGGACATACAGTTGCCGCCGAGTGGCCGCTCTGTCGCTTCCGATGACGCCGCGGAGGAGAAGGACTCCTGTTCACTGCTCGCTTCTGACAGTGAAGAATGGTCATCTCTCGGATCCACGAGAGAATCGGCGGGGATCCGCGCCGGAATAGAGGAGGAACTAATGCGCCTCCTCGCACAGGCCGTCGAACGCCTCAGTCTCGAGTGGTCTCCTCCACCCGAGCAGGCCCCGAACCGGATGGACGGCAGCTTCTTTCATCGGCGCTCGACCCGCGCGTGCAACCGGGCCGCTCCATTCCTGCCTGAACTTCACGCAGAGCTGACGAAGTCCTGGAATGCCCCGCTCTCGGCTAGAAACCGCTCTGATATATCTGCCTCGCTGCGCTCGGTGGACGGAGCCGCCGAGAAAGGCTACTCAGCCATGCCGCCCGTCGAGGACTTGGTCGCCGCACACCTCTGCCCGCCCTCTGCTAGATGGCGCTCTTCCCCCACGCTTCCTTCGAAAGCTTGCAGAGCGACCTCGAGCTTTCATGCTCGCGCCTACGCCGCCGCCGGTCAGGCCGCCGCAGCGCTACATTCAATGTCTGTCCTCCAAGTTTTACAGAGCGATATTCTCCGTGAGTGGGCCGAAGGCGGTAGAAACCCCTCCCCCGCTGTCACGGATCTGAGAAGTGCTACGGACCTCGCCCTTCGCGCCACTAAAGCCGCCGCACAAGCTCTGGGGAGATGCATGGCCAGCCTTTGTGTTGCCGAGAGACACTTATGGCTCACGCTCGCCGACATGGGAGATTCTGAGCGCGCCGCGTTTCTTAACGCGCCCCTCTCCCCGACGGGCCTTTTTGGATCTGCTGTCACGGGAATCATCGATCGCTTTTCTGAGGTCCAGAAAGCTACTCAGGCGATGAATTTGTTTCTGCCCCGCCGCGCTAGCTCTTCCGCGGGCCGCTCTCGCGAGCCTCCTGCCAGAGCTCCACCACAGCGCCCCCCTCCGCAGACTCAATCAGCCCAGCGCAGACAGGGCGGCCGCCCTCGCTCTCGCTCTGACAGCCGCCGCAGACCGCCGCCCCCACGAGGCCCGCGACCTAAGATCACGCTGAAGCCTGATCATCAGAAGTCTGCCTAGCAAAGTCAAGAAAACGACGGTGCTCTCCCGCTGCGGCCGGACCGCCGTCAAAGCTTCGCCCTCTGCCAGTCCCCGTTATTTCGCCGACTGCTGTAGTGTTGACCGCCACAAACAAGCCGGTGTCCCAGCCCGCTTGCGAGCGACAAAAAGCCGTTTTTACGGCTACCCAGAGAAATCTCAAAAAGAGAAAATTTGCCAGTTGTGTAGAAAACGTGCCCACAATCATGTGCTCACCCATACACACAAGCATAACATACCCCGTGTCTCTATCAGAGCCCCATCACATGAAACGGGCACAGCCCGCTCTAATATCAGAGAACATAAACACGCCCACGAGCTCGTGTCCCCTCTCTGCTCGCTCTGTTTCACGGCCCATAGACTCCTCTCTGAGTGCAAATCCCGTTGCCACACAAATTCAAAGCGCGCCCACACACTGTGTCCAGCCCGCTATGTGCAGCAATCAGGGCGATATAGCCATTCGGCCACTAGCCGCATGCTCCAAAGCGTGGGAAGCCATTCCAGGCATTTCCCCGTGGGTGCTAAGCATTATAAAGAACGGCTATCTGCTACAGTTTCGCCACCGCCCGCCTCGTGCGCGCGCGGCTCGAATCTACTGTCAGCCCGCTGGCCGCCGGCACGCTCCGCTCAGAAATTGCGACGCTATTGCAAAAGGGCGCCATAGAGAGAGTCCCACCATCTATGACCGAGTCGGGGTTTTACGGCCGTTATTTTCTGGTTCCCAAGAAAGACGGCGGCCTCAGACCGATTTTAGATCTCAGGTCTTTGAACAAAGTGCTCATGAAGAGACCGTTCAAGATGCTCACTACCAGGAAACTCCTCGCGCAGGTGCGCGGGCCTTCGAGGGTCATGTTTATCAATACGCCGTTCTCCCGTTCGGCTTATCTCTGGCGCCCCGCACATTTACGAAGTGCATAGATACGGCGCTCGCCCCCCGGCGGAGCCAGGGGCTGCGCATATTGAATTATCTGGACGACTGGCTGATTTTGGCCCAATCACAAACGGAGCTTGTGTCGCACCGCGCAGTTCTCCTCGACCATCTGAAAACGCTGGGCCTCTCTGTCAACTGGACAAAGAGCTCCCTTCAACCCAGTCAATCGATTTCCTTTCTAGGAATAGATTTGAACTCGGTCACGATGACGGCTCGCCTGTCTACACAGCGCGCGCGCAGTGTACAGCGACTGGCCGCCTCGTTTCAGATGGGCACCCGCTCACCTCTGAAAACGTTTCAGAGGATGCTGGGTTACATGGCCTCAGCCTCCGCTGTGCTTCAGCTGGGCCTTCTGCACATGCGTCCGCTTCAGCTTTGGTTAAACAGCCGTGTACCCCACCGCGCGTGGAACACGGGCCGCCAGCTGATCAGAGTTACGCAGACATGTCTCACGGCGCTGCAGCCATGGACAGTAGCAGAATGGTTTCGACAAGGCGTCACGATGGGGACCTTTTCTCGCCGAAAAGTCATCTCGACAGATGCATCCAACACGGGTTGGGGTGCAGTCTGCGAGGGCTCACCGGCCTTGGGCCATTGGTCGACACAGGAAAGCCCCTTACACATAAACTGTCTGGAAATGCTTGCGGTCGAGAACGCGCTTTCGCGCTTCCTCCCGCTCATTCGGGGACACCACGTCCTGATCCGTTCGGACAACATGGCTGTGGTCTCCTATCTCAACCGTCAGGGCGGTGTCAGGTCCAGGAATCTCTTCCTACTGACACACCGCATTTTAGTTTGGTCTCAGAGCCGCCTGCTCTCGCTCAGAGCGACGCATGTGCCGGGCCATCTGAACACAGCCCAGACATACTGTCCAGGAACCT